CGGCAACCGGTCGCTGTTTATTATTTCGTCGTGTAAGATCGCTAGACGGCCGTCTAATTGCATAATTGATTATATAAAAGCGCACCGAGCCCGGCGAGTTTCGTTACGTAAACCGTCGCCGGCGCGGCTTTCGTTGTTCCCCGGCCTCGCGTCCGCCATTTCTCGCGGAACCGTGCGAAATTATCTAATATCCTGCATACGTAATTATCCGGCGGAGATCGCGGCGGCCGATCCCGACGGAAAAACGGCGAATTTCCAGCCGGAATGAAAATCCTTCGTTAATTATTCGCGCCTCGCCTTCGTTCCCCGGTTATTCCGCTAGATTATCTGAAGCTCCTCCACATTGTTCGCGACGAGAAGTGGAAAAGTCTACGCAGACGGTGCGATCTGGGCAAATTACACGGTGCCAGGGATGATAACCTCGCTCTGAACGGGTTCGGAATGATTTACAGTGAGATTCTACCGTGAACTTCGTATTCGAGGACTTTCGCATTTTAATCCGGCTAGTTAGAGAGTGTTGCGGTTTGAATAGGATGTTCGTCGATGTTTGAAACTTTGGGCGGTAATTTTTAAATTGTGAATTTCTAATGCTTGAGTTTGAAAGGTTATTAGTTGTGAGATATAAATCGATGGAGAATGTTGGAATATTAAGTTAGAGATACAGGCGTGTTCGCAATTAACCCTTTGCACTCGGAAGGCTCTCAATGATCACTCGATTTATTGATATTAGATATTAGTATTTGATATAGTATTGATTACTGATATTTAATGTTGAACTTTGTATGCTTTGATACGTGAAGTATTGGAATGAAATAAGTTTGTTCCTCAATGTTCTTGCGATTTCCCTCCGAGTTACTTTCAAGGAATATCGTATCAAAAAATGTTAAACATTCAGAAACTTCAATACAAAATGAAATTACTAAAATGTTTGAATTCCTCCTAGATATAATTAACCTTTTGCACTTAAGAATACTTTTCTCAATAAATATTCATTTTCTGATGAAACGTCAATGATATTTTTTAACATAAAGAAATACCTTGCATGAATTAAGTGAGAGAACCATTTTATTTCGATGCTCCATGTGTTCGTACATCATATAAAATTTAATATTGAATTTCTAATTTTACTCTCGAGTGCAAAGGGTTAATATTATAACTAATATCATCAAAACACTTTGCTCTCCTATATAATGAAAACATTCCTTCCTGTTAATCCGAATTACTTTCCAATACCACGACGACTCCAACTCCGGTCTAAACGGACGCAAATTTGTCAAGGTGAAGATCAAGACGGAGATTCTCGACGAGATCGAGGATTTCTCGGCGAACGATGAGCTGGAGCCCGTCGAGATCGACGGGAAAGGGGAGACCCACGGCGGGGCGGGCAAAGCGGTCGGCCGCTGGTTGCCGAAAACGGAAGCCGCCATGCCGGATGAATACGTCGACTTTGAGGAGTACATCGTGGCGCTGACGAGCGGAAAGCGGCTGCTCTGCAGCGTCTGCAGAATCGAGTTTCCGGACGAGGCCGGCTTCAAGACACACATGGTCGGCCACAGCCACGGGAAACTATTCCAATGTGGCTTCTGTCGGAAACAGTTTTCGCGGTGGGCAATCGCACAACTTTTTCTACTGTTCTAGTCTTTCGTTCCACTAATCCTTTCACCATAGTATCTCGAGAAGCTGGACGTTTATAGTCGAATTATTTATGTTTCACAATTTTTATTTGCATGTTATTTATATGAATTTTAACAGATTGAACGTCAGCTAAATTTCAGCTAATAGACATGGGAATGTCGGTGATTATATTAACGTTGAACGCCACACGATTTCACGTAGAAGAATGCACAAAATGAAAACAATGTAACAAGTTATTGCATTGAATTGTTTTATTTTTATTGCACGTTTATCTTGCCGAATGTCACTGCGGTAGACAGCATTATTTGTAATATACAAATATTTGCAAATAATGATCGTTTAATTCACTGAATTATAATAATTCGATTTAGTCGAGGGTCATCGGTGATCCTCACGGCATTCAACGTGTTAATATATTTTTAAAAATCGATCAAACCGAAATTTGTAACTTTGTAATAGCTAAGATATTATGTCGAGTTAATTGTCATTAGTATTACTGATTTCCAGAGCGTCTGCCTTGAAAGATCATCTACACCTGCACGAGACCTTCAAGGCGTTCTCCTGCAGCCACTGCAATTTTCGGTTTCAGGTGGGTCTATTAATTCCTGATTTCTATGGATTTTTCAAATTTATTAACACTAGGTTTACGGACATTTATTGTACGGTTTATGTTACTGTTCCTAGAAACATTCATGTTGGTTCTATCCGGATTTCGAACTTAGATGTTTAAAAATAGACAATTAAGGGACACACTGGTGCAATGCATTAATCAAAGTCGGCGTAAACATTTAGCAAGTATTTATAAACTTCAATATGCGTCAAATTGACGCGTCCCGTGAACCTAGTATTAACCATTTCAGGTGCATAGTTCATCGAATCTTCTAGAATCTGAATTAAAATAAGATTGATGTAAAAAATTATAACTTAATTAGAATTTGAATTAAAATAAGATTGATGTAAAAAATTATAACTTAATTAGAATTTGAATTAAAATAAGATTGATGTAAAAAATTATAACTTAATTAGAATCTGAATTAAAATAAGATTGATGTAAAAAATTATAACTTAATTAGAATTTGAACTAAAATAAGATCGATGTAAAAAATTATAACTAATAAATTGATGGCGTCATTTCAGAATAAGGATGAATTGAAGAGTCACAAAGCGGAGCTACATTCGGAGCGCAGGCCGTTCGAGTGCAGCGTCTGCAAGAAGAAGCTGCTGCACCGACAGTCGCTGCGCGATCACAAGCTGATGCACACGAACGTGAAGCCGTTCGAATGCTCGATCTGCAAGAAGAGGTTCCTGCGGCTGAGCAGCCTGAGGGCCCACATGATCGTTCACACCGCCGACCTGCCGTTCCAGTGTGACCTCTGCCCTGCGAAGTTCAAACGCGCGTCGGTCCTGAAGACCCACAAACTGACGCACACCGGCGAGAGAAGGTTCGAGTGCGACATCTGCAAGCGTCGTTTCCACTTGAAAGGCGCTCTGAAACACCATATCCTCTCGCACTACGGTGAGAACCTGAATTCTTTAACGATTCCATCGAGGTTCACGCGTTGGCTACCGATGACGCATTACTAGGTCATGCGAGGAATTATTATTTACGTATACAGATTTATTTAGGAGTTTATGGAGGTTGAAACTGAGACAAAGTCTGGTTATATTTATTAAGAGAATTTTTAATGGTTTTATACCTACTTCTTTCATAACAGAGATAAATCGAAGTAATTAACTATTTGGTGTCAGTTCTTACACTATCTAGTTATCTCATTTATATTACATTCAACCCCTTTATTACAATATCGTAAGATTTAAGATAAGCATTACTCGATTCCTCTGATTTCAAATTATATATTACTCTTCTCTCATTGATTATTATACTCTAGAGCAGACATACTTAGAATTTTTCTCTTTAATAAATTCTTAACGTCAAAGCACTACTGAATATATTGCTAATTCGCATTCCTATGTGGACATTTATTAATTTCGTACTGCATAGATTTTGTTACAATCGTGAACAAAAATTCGGCCCATAGAGGGTTAATATATTCTGTATCCTTCAAATTAGAATGACATTGAACTCTCACGTCCGCGCGTACAAAAGTTCAAGTTAACTGATTACTTAATGTTATTCACCACTTTGCCGTGAAAAATGAAATAAATCAACAAGATGTCGATATACTGATATGTGACTTCAAAGTCACATGGGCCTACAAAGGGTTAAGTCGCTGAATGTGTTAACGAGGAATCCCGAGGATTCTCGGAAAAAACGCACAGGAGACCAGGGCGGAACGGTGGGGGGGAGGGTGTTTAGCGCGCAGACCGTTTCCCTCCGTCGCGGCTCCTGCTTTCCCATATAAACTTTCGTGGCGAGGTATTGAGACATAAAAATCATAGATAAGGCCCCGTGGCGGCGGGCTGCCTTGCCTTGCCGGCTGGTCTCTATTAATTAGAGAATCAAGCATCGCGGTGTTACACGGCTGCCAATTAACCCCTTCGCGGAATTCACGCGGGGGACCCGAGCGGAGCCGAGCCGAGCCGATCCGAACCGCGGCGCGGCGGCTGAAAGCTACTTAAACGGCGATAATGCCCCGCTCGCGAACACACCGCGGGTTATAATGTATATTCTACGGTTTGTTTATGGGCTACCGGAAGCCACGTTCGTAAATCTGCGGGCGCAGTTACCACTCGATGTTTACTAGTACCTTAATTTGCCTCGGCCGCTGGTCGGATATCATCGCCGGGAATCAAATTAAGCGGCGAACTGAGAGCCGTTCGAAAAATGGACGTAAAACCCCCCCGGTGCTCTTAAATTCCTCGCCTGGCTCCTGTAATGGATACTTCAATTATCACAGCCTTCAATTAGTAACGAGAACAAAACGAGGTTCGGGGAAAGAGCCGTGCGTCTCGCTCGAGACCGTTCGCCGCCGCGACTTTTCGGCCGAGGTGGTTCTCCGCTGTAGGGAATCGTCGTATCGTGTTTCTGAATGCGCTTTGCTTTTTCCGGAGGTGTAGGTTAGATGAAGGTAGTAGGGATGATGTTAGGCTGATGGAAGCTGTATTCGAAATGTGGTATCTAGAATTTTTAGCGTAGGTTAACGCATCGAGCGCCGGCCCCGTGAAAACGCGGATTCTGAGTCTATCGCTCGAGCGCCGCAGTAATGCGGATTTCTGGATTTCCATTTCTGAATGTGACGAATATGCAGGTGTAGGACCGTTCAATATTAACATGACTGAGTGAGTGTATGGCTGAGCGAATGAGGCGAGTGTGGATGAGAGAGAGAGAGAGAGAGAGAGAGACGCAAGTTAATAAAAGTTATTTACCAAATTGAAGAGAAGAGTTGTAAAGACCTTAATGCAGCACAATTAAAATGTACTATTTTACAAAAATGTATGTTTTGAGTATCTTTTTTGGCTACTCATTGATCAGATACAAGCGAATAAAGCCGTTTAGGCTAAGTGGCCGATACGTTGGCTTTAAATGTCTCTTAAGTCGCCGGCGCTCAATGTGTTAAGGTATTTTTGAGAAGAGTGAATGTAAGAATGAGTGTGAGTGGACAGGTTGTAAAACGGTCGAGGGAAAGCGATTCGTTGGTTGATTTCTTTGGAATCGTCAGTGTTTGGAGAGTTGATTGTGGTGTTTGAGATGAATTTTGATGTTGAATTTTGATCTTCCAGGTGTCCGGCCCTATAAGTGCGAGGACTGCGGCAAGTGTTACAGAAGGTCCTGGGGCCTAAAGGTGCACAGCTACCGGCACACAGGTGTGAAACGGTTCGAGTGCGACCTCTGCAAGCTGCGCTTCAGCGTGAAGACCAAGCTCGCGAAGCACATTTACGGGCACATCGGCGAGAAACCGTACAAATGTGGCTTCTGCGGCCGCCAATACGGGGAAAGGTACCAGCTCAAAGCTCACAAATGTGGCGCAGCAGTTCGGAACGCGTCGAAAACGAAGATCGAGCATCGCTTAGCGGAGTCAGCCTCTCAAATCCGATTCTACCGACCGAAATTATTGATTCCTGCGATGAGAATCGGCAATAATATTATTGGTACTTGAATACCTCTAAGTTTCACCTACAGTGCCTTAAAGACAATTGTAATACTTGTAACATATAGAATGATCTAATCTCCAAATTTCCTTAAAAATACAATAACAATAGTGAAATATTGAGAAGTATCTGTAACATTCGGAATGAATCATCGATGAATGCATCGTAATTGTGATAATATATATTATTATTAGAAAAGTTATATCGATCGTTTCATGATCTCATTAACCCCTTGGCGTACCATTTACCTTCATTACTAAGCTCGTAACATCTTACTATCGACAATTTAGAAGAAATGCAGCAAAACCATTCTACTTGAAGTAAATTTCATTAGAAGATAATACATTGATAAGAGCAAAACAGTTTTGATCCGTGGGTAATGAACGTTGATTCTTGTTAACACAAATCTCGTTTTTATATAAAAACACTTAGCCAATTACCACAGCATTGAACCTGGGGTTCACCTCGAACTGAAAGAAAATAGCTTTACTTAATTTACGTATGATTTCTGGTTAAATTCATTTTACAGAATCTTGCCCACATCTAATTAGAAAATAAAATATCTCAAGCGAAAAACTTTCGAATGCAAAGGGTTCATAGAAACGTTTTATTTATTGAACAGCAGGGTTCACCTCGAACTGAAAAAATAGCTTTACCTAATTTACGTATGATTTCTGGTTAAATTAATTTCAAAGAATCTCGCCCACATCTAATTAGAAAGCATAAAATATTTCAAATGAAAAACTTTCGAGTGCAAAGGGTCCAAAGGAAAAACGTTTTATCTATTGAACAGCAGGTTTCACCTCGAACTGAAAGAAAATAGCTTTGTTACCTAATTTACGTATGATTTCTGGTTAAATTCATTTCAAAGAATCTCGCCCACATCTAATTAGTATAAAATATTTCGAATGAAAAACTTTCGAGCGCAAAGGGTTCATAGAAACGTTTTATCTATTGAACATCAGGGTTCACCTCGAACTGACAGGACTTTCCAATGACTCCGTGTTCCTCGGCGGCTTATTGCCACCGGTAGATCACGTTTGCCTTTAATAGAGGCTCATCTATTCGGAATGGTAGACTTTTCCCGGCCGAGAGCGGGTCTTGCCCGATGTTTGCATGCCGGCGCAGCTTAATAAGAACTCGGCCTTAATAAGTACCTTGCCGCGGAACAAAAGCCCGATTAATTCCAGCCTGGTCCGACTCCATTCGGATCGCTCTCCCACCTATCCGTCCCCGCCGCCGATGGAACCTAGGTTAGGTTCGTCATCAGAGTTCCTCACATAATCATAGTGGTCGCCCGCGTATCGCCGGGACGTGACCGCGCGTGATTACCGAACAATCCGGACGATTTCGTTTGCGGGAACCGGCGCGGACCTGCGGGAGTAATTCTTTAATCGTCGCGCGGACAGACCGATGGCCCCGTTGCGCCGTTATTTTTCTAGTCTCTGATTGGACCGACTGATTGTCCGTCATCGATCAACGAGTAACGCCTTGTTCCTGGATAAACAGATGTTTATTCCTATTGTGCTGTTTGTATTGTTTTCGTTATCGCTTCTGTTGGGAAGCTTTGATACTGAACATTCAGTTTGGGGTTTCGTAAGTTTCTTAACCGTTTGAACTCTGTAGGCTCCAATATGGCACCAGTTATAGTATTAAATATTTTAATAAAATTTTAAGAAACTACCCTAAAATTATTAGATTCTCCATACATCCAAATTTTGTGCTAAGGAAAATAAAAGAAAGAAATGTTATAGCATTTCCCACTTTCGCTAGGAATACTATAAAAATTAGTTACAGTTGCTGATAGATAACAAAACCTGGAGTGCTAAGGGTTAACAATTTCTCGAAGTATTTGCCTTTTTAGTAACTGTGAAGCAAGAAATCAGGTTATTCTCGTGTAGTAGTTTTAGCGTTAGAGGACAATTAGGAAATTGGACGATTGGTTAACACTAGGTTTACGGAGTACTGAATTTATAAACATTACTTGGCAAACGTTTATGTCGATTTTGGTTGATGTAGATACAAGAATACATATCATAATAACCTAATTTTAAATCCCTAATTTCCAAGATCTAAATGGTCGAACATCAATTTTCCTAGGAACAATAGAATAAACCGTACAATAAACGTCCGTAAACCTAGTGTAAACAACAGATTAATGAATTAATGCATTTCTAATAAATCTGCATCCAGTATAAAGAACAGAGAACCTTACAAGAATCCAAAGAAGACATATTGACCTCTCAAAGTTCTGGATCTTCTGCAAGAAACGAAAGTTCAACCTCTGTTCCCACTATCCCAAGAAATTTCAATTTTGCATAAACATCCGCGCTGCGGCCGCAGCCGATCGAGGCGACCATCGAAACAGGTTGACTCGCAATAATCTCTTCATCGCGATTTAATTGAACCATAAGCAGCCCCGCCATTTTTCGCCGGAGCTTTTTCCCGTTAAACCTGTCCGGATACCTGTCCACCTGGAATTCTTTCCAAGGGTACATTATATAATTTGCTTTTGATAATACGCGAACCGGTCGCCGCAGGTCGGTCTGTCGGTCGGTCGGTTGGTCGGTCTTTCAACTGTATCTCGAGCACGTGGGCCCTCCTTGTGTCGCCGCACGTGAGAATGGTACTTTAAGGTGCGTGGACACAGCGGGGGCTCGCGTACGGTAATCCGAGAAGAACCGCCCCTTTATCTGATTGCATCTGTGATTCGCGAGCCTCCGGGAGGAACCCTTTGACCGTGCCGACACGCATGTCGCCTCCCGGACACGTTTTCCCATCTCTATTCACGAATTCGCTGGACCTGTTCCGGACTCCTGGCCAGTTGAGACACTCCGATCGAATTTTTCAGCAGATATTGGACTGTGAAATGGAAGTTTACTCTCTTTTTAACCCTTTGCACTACGAAGTTTTTCAATAGAAATATTTCAACATTTTCTGATTCAATTACGTGATTATGGTCCCTAATAATACATTTTTAAATATTTGATTTCCTAGATCTAAACATCAATCTTCCTAGGAACAATGGAATAAATTGTACAATAAATGTAAATCTAGTGTTAACCCTTTGTACTCGGAAGTTTTTCACTAGAAATATTATTAATATTATATTTATTTCAATATTATTTCATTTCAATATTTCTCAAATTGATCCATTATACAAGGTATAATATTAAATATCAAATTTTATAGTTTCACGGTGTGAAATCAGGTGGTGATTGAGAGTCACCTCTCGAGTGCAAAGGGTTAATATTTCGTACGTATCACAAGAAAATAAGGAACAATTCCAAAGTTCTAAGATCACTTATAACAAAACGTCTCTTCCTAAGACGCCTTCAATCAGGTTAAACATCCGCAGAGCACAAAGATTAAAGATCTGCGGAATTAAAAAGACCTCGAGCTCATTATCACCATCTCATCCGCCACCCTCGACCGCGAACCACCCAAAAGCGCAATCATCCTCCTCCATTAAACTCAACCATCACACCTTCACGGGAATCCGAGAAATCCTAATCATCCTCGGACTGCGTTACGGTACTATTTCCACGTTATAACATTAACAATCTCCGACGCGGCGAGCCGTCGTCACAATCAGCAGCACCCGACCAGTCACGCCGACGTCACAGAACAATAGGCAGAAAAATAGGCGACGGATGCTCGACAATATAATCAGACAACCGCAGAATTAGCTTACTCTCGGCGAAGCGTGGGCTACCAATTAGAAACTCTGTCGCAGACGAGCGAGGTACAGTATCAGCGGCGGTATCTGCGAGCCAGACGATTAGCATAGACCAGCGAATGGAGCAATCGCGGGGCGCGGGGGGAGGATAATTAAATCCGCCGACGATCGCTATCGGAATAATTAGGAGTTGCCGTGACGCTGCACAAGATTGCGGCCGGACTGTCAGACCGTTAGATCCCGCGAGCCGGGATTCCGCAATTAAGCGAGAAAACACACGGCGCCGCGCGCGGATATTCAAATCGGCTCGCGATCGCGTTCGAGCGCGCACCGGATCCGCCGGGTCACCTTCTCCTCGAGGCGAGAGACCGCGCGTGCGAGTGAATCACCGGACCGCGGGGAAATTGCACTTTCGACACGTTCGCGTAACCGCTTTATGAATAATCGCGCCGTGCGAACCGAGCGATCGCCTCGCCAGGGAAATACAAGGATCCGCGGCACCCTGAAGCGTGTCCGTTAGGAATCGCAGACACGAATTGCTCGTTAAATTCTCGCTGCCCTTGGATGGCGATTTTGAACTCTGAACTGGAGAGGAGGTTTGATCTCTTCAGTCTTTGATTCTGGTTATTGAAAAATTGAAGTTTTTAGTCTGCTTTGGATGTAGGAGATTATTTTGAGTTCCTGGTTGAAGATTATAATTTTAAGCACTGTGGAATTGATATTTGATATCTGGATTTTCAAGGTTATTTAAAATTTATAATGTAAGCGGTGTAGATTCTGAAAATTCCTCTTTAACCCTTTATAGGCCGAATATTTGTTCATGGTCATGACAAAATCTATGCAGTACAGAATTAATAAATATCCACATATGAATAGGAATTAACAGTGTATTCAGTAATTACAATAATTTCATCAAACGAATACATTTTGTAACTTTCAAGTTACAATGACGTTAAACTTTTACGCCTGAGTGTATGAAAGTTTAAGTTATAAATAAATCAACAAGATTCCAATATACTGATATGTGATTTTAAAGTTACATGGGCCTACAGAGGGTTAAATGATAAATTAAATAAACGCAAAGTGGTACCTCTAAAGTAATCTCTACTATTATTACAATTTTTATCATTAAAAGAATTATTTCGTGTTATCAAGTCCAATACCAAGTGAATTCATATCAAACATAAAACGACCAACTATGAAACCTTGCAAAGCTCAGAAAATGGAGTCAACCGATTCGCCTCGGAAGTTCAAATAACTGTCTTAATCCTTTAGTGCTTGCGAAAATAATCGAAAGAATTTTACTAAGGTTCGAGAAAAATCTCCTAA